GCTCACAAACTGAGACAACGTCAGCACTTGGAGTACCGGAAGCAAAAGGGGGCATCCCCTGTCTCCCCAGAGTCAGACCCCCAACCTGAACTGAACGCTGAAGCCGAGCAGTTCAGTATGGATAGGCCTGCGGATAATGACTTTACTGGAAATGTCATAGCTGGACAGGACACTCAAGAGGTCATACAAACTGTCCCATTTGCAAACCTGCCCAGCATGGAGGAGGCAGAGGCTCCTGATGCATCACCTCGCAGGTTACAGAGGGATAGAAGGCCTAAACAAACACTGACATATGACTCAGTAGGTCAACCTACTCATCGTGTGGTGGGGACTTATACCAATTTGGTGTATGTAACTTCAGCGACACCAGGACTCGCACTGTAGGTACGTTCTCATTTGAATGGTTTTTGAATGACATGGTACATTCCAGACAGAGTGCCTCACTCTGCCATAGACAGCCATAAAAAAATGATTCAGAAAATCCGCTCAAAAGAAAAGTGAGGGTATTTGTAAATTGCCACAGCTCCTTCATTTTGTTGAATATCTTGATATAGAGGTGATCAACGTGTTTGTTGTTTAAGGACATTTGTGCTTCTCTTCAGAATTTTTCTAAAATTCATACCTTTTAAAACATTTAACTTTATTCTGAAAATGTTGCCCCATTCAAATAAATGGGAAGATTCTACCTCAGCATGTTTTCAGATATCAAAATGTTCAGCTCTTCAAGGACAATCATGCTCCTATTCAGAATTTTTCTAAACTTCATATTTAGATTTATTCTGAAAATTTTGCTCCATTCAAATGAATGCTAAAATTTTCAGATTTTCCTTCTCTTTCAGTTCTAACCGGTTCAGTAGACATTCAGCTAGAAAAACCATTCAACCATTAAACAAGCCTTGCTGACTTCTTTAATGCTGACTTTCAGCATACTTTCAGCTATTTCAGGTAGCAAAATGTTCAGCTCCTCAAGGACATTCATGCTTCTCTTCAGAATTTTTCTAAACTTCATACTTTTTAATTATTTAACTTTATTCTGAAAAGATTGCCCCATTCAGATGAATGGGATAATTTTACTTCAGCATATTGTAGGATTTGAGTCTTATAGACTCTAGTTACTTTACAAGCTTTAGTTACTTCTCATACCTTTAGTTGCCTTTCATAACTTTATTTTCCTTGTTTATACATATTACAGCTGTACTGATGATTGTCCAGAACTACTGAGCTTTGGTCATTTTGAATACATTTATTTCCCTTGCTTATATATCTTACAATTGTATTGATGAGAATCAAGTGATACTGAGGTAGAAACTGTCTGCTTTAACTTCTGTAGAGACTAGATGTCTGTATCTCCTAAGTGACCAGACAGCCTATTTACATTTTAACAGAGACCTGTTGGCCTGTTTTACACTCACACCTAGACCCACTTAACATATTCCAAGATTCTGCTTTGTGTTAGGGTGCAGTGAAGAGAGCATGGAAGCAATTTTAAAGTCAAACAGTAAAGCAGCCACAAGCTGTCTAAATAAAGAAATCCTACAGATACTAAAATACAACATGCTGCTGGAAAATGGATGCATATGACCATCTGGGATTTTTAACACGTCACCCAAATCATATAGTGTTGAGGGTGACAGAAAAGTCTATTTTACCATGGGCTTTGATATGCTCTGTGTGTTTGCTCTGTTTACGTTTGAGGTTTATGAGGAGTTCAGCCAAGTGGTGTGGAAAGACCTCAGAGAAAACATCTTTGATGCGCTGGACTGTCTCTCTCCGAGCCTAGTGTTAGGTATTTTTAGTCAGATAGATATTGGTTAGATACTTGATGTATTAGCAATGTTTAGTGTAGACAGGATGTCTAGCTCAGGCTGTTAAATGCTTAGTCATTCTCATGAGTTGCTGCAGGTTGCTTATGGTCAAGGATAACTAGATAGAAAGTTGATGACTGTCAGCAGACAGGATGTTTAATATTATTATTATGACATGTATAACTGTAGCCATAGCCATAATATTTTCTTATGTTTAATGTCATGACATGTCACTAGAGGTCGTGTTAGAATGTTTTAGCTACACATCACTTAATCAACAGACAATCACACACTGATTTTCTTCATGCTTTGACTACTGCTCTGGCCAGCTGCAAAGCTGGCACCGGGAGATGTCACGGTTTGGCGTTCCTGTGTAGAATGGGGTTAGCCCAAAGTGATATAATGTATAGGCCTGTTGTGGTTCGGGGTCTTTCATCTTTCAGCTGCCTGCGTGCATGTTGGAGGTGCAAGATACCTGAGCGTGTAATGTTAATTTTTACCTGTGTTCACTGAATAAATCAGCACTGTTTTGAAGTTACTTGGACTGCTTCGTCTCTCAGAGTTAGCGTGGTTAAAAGTACCGGCTACAACACTAGGAAGAAGAAAGGTCTTACTGGTCAGCTTTTGGCTGAGCTTTTACGTCAGACAAAGGTAAGTTAAATTGTCTGTATCAGTCTGCCCCCAATCTTCCTGTGATCTGAGTTTCTGTCCATTGCGTTTGTCTTTCCATTTCCTCAGTTTCTTCTCTTTTTTTTTCTCCTTTGCGTTTTCTAATCTCTTACCTCCTATTTCCCTTTTCTCCTCTCTCATTTCCTTTCTGCTTTGCTCATTTCATGTCTCTTCGCCTGCCCCCTTCTTTGCTCTCTCTTCTTTCATCTCTTTCATCTCATCTTTTCCTCCCCATTCTCTGGTCTCATTTTCTTCCCATTTATCTCCTGTTTCCTTTTCTTATCTTTTCTCTGGTCCTTTCCTCTTTTCATTCATGTCCTCTTTTGTACTTTACACTCTTGTAAATTTGCAGGTTTGTCATAAGAAATCATGGTCAAGTACAAAAATTTGTTTAATGAATACACATAAGTGTCTTTAGAAAACTGTGTGCTCTATTCTATGCCCACTATCTTCCAGACCACCGAGCCAACAGACATCAGGTGCCTTTGTCTTCGGGGACTGCCAGTCATCATGGGAGATGATCCTTCTGCCTTCTTCAAGACTTTCTCCATAAGTAAATGATTGTGCTGTAAATGTTACAGCTGCAAGACTTGACTTTAAAAATGGTTAACAAATGTGCTCAAGTAACATTAAATATTTTGCTATGGCTGTACAAGTGAAAAGAAAACACTTATGGCCTGATTTGTTAAACGTTTGCGTGTGTTAAAACACATGCAAACTTGATATCGCCTGCAAAATACTGGACTGTGCAAACTGATCTAATAATAGGCTGCACTGAGGATTGCGTCTGTCAAAGGTGAAATATAGTGTGTCTTGTCCATTCTGCACGTTTGCCTTAATCAATCTGCAGTATGAGGTGTTTCTACCCAAAATACAGAGAGGTGACAATGCAAACACATTAATTTAGCATATGCAGTGTTATTTATAAAGCTTTTGGGACATATGGATTTAATACCCTTGAAAGCAAGGTGCAACGAAGCGCTCTACATTATGCACAGATGTCTGCTGTTGCTGTGGTGGCGAGGAGACACAGACACAAGAAAAGAATACATTGAGAATGCTTGTGTTTACATTTTTGGAGTGAGAGAGGCAAAAATAATGTAATGTAATATTTTATTTTCTTTATAATATTCAAATTTCTGTAACTCAGTAAAATGTTTATTTGCCTCTTCAACTAACACCTCTTATTCTGTTAGGTCAAATTTCATTTTGCGCTTGCAGTCACTGTTTTCTCCTGCAAAACATGCTCCAGCCATAGGTGCAATGAGCACGCAATTTAGTACTCTTTTTAGCAGATCTTAGTAAATCAGGCCCTTAGTGTTAGGTGTCCTATCCTGCATGAACAGTGTGCCTCACTTCCCCTTTCTTTCAGTGTATAGTTCTATTTTCTATGGGGCTTTTCATTCTTAACATTTGAAGGTAATTTTTGTGGACCACGCAGTGCTATTTAACTGATAGTGTCTTGTTGATCTGTTTCTTTCTGTATAAGAATGCAACTGACAAGGACTTACACAGTCAAACTCCCATAAGAATCCTCTGCAGTGATGAAGGAAACCTTCAGTTGAACCCATCCAGAGTGGGAATCATCTTGGAAGGGAGTGTGGTGATGGATGAATTCGCCAATCTTCCTCAGGCCTTCTGTGTCCTTTTTGGACTGATCTACGCCCTGCACCTGGATTGTCCTAAGTACATGAAAAAAAAACCTCTCTACTTTGTCCAACAGGTGATGCTCAACCTGGGTAAAAGTCAGCTGGCACCAAAAATTCAGACTCTGAAAAACCAGCTTGGAGTGTACTGTACTGTAATAGTTTCAATACTGTAATATTAAAAATTGAAAGTTTTAAAGCAAGGATTTATGTACCTTGACTTAAATGTATTTTTAAGCTGAAATTTTTAAGCGGAATTTATTGTAATGAACTTAACATATTAAGTGTAATAATTATGCAAAGCAGTTGATATTGTGAACTATGTTAAGTAAAATCAACTTGGAATTAATGTGTACACATTTTGAAGATAACTTGGCTAAATGGGCATGGAAATTAATGCTGCAAAATTTGAATAAACTCATCTTGGAATTTATTGTAATGAACTTAACATATTAAGTGTAATAATTATGCAAAGCAGTTGATATTGTGAACTATGTTAGGTTAAATCAACTTGGAATTTAGTGCAGTGAACTTAAAATATTAAGTGTAATAATTATGCAAATCAGTTGATATTGTGAAATATGTTAAGTTAATTCAACTTGGAATTTTGTTTGTTGTACTCAAGCATTTAAGTTTAAATGCACTCAGTTTTTCATTACACATTACTTACTTTTTTAAGGCAACTGGTTTCCTCACATTTTTTAAGTAAAGTCAACTTATCCGTCATACAGTGTAAAAAATAAAGGCACTGACTTAATTAAAAGAGCACTTAATAGTGGGAAGTTTAGTAAAAGCACGTTCAAATGTGCTTACAATTTGAATTTGCAACGATGCAGTAGAGGGCGCTAAGACAAAATATTGACTAAAGGCTTCTACAGTAGAAGAAGTCGCGTGACCCGGAAGTGAGTGGGGCTTTGGTTCTGTGAAAGAAAAGCTATCTACTAAGCTCCCGGTGCTGCAGGTTTTAGCCCTGTTTATAGCTGTTCAACATGGTCCAACTGGTGGGTTCCCTCCGAAAAGAGCTGTCCGACTCGCTTTCCACCAGCAAGGTGCTAGTGGTGGGAGCGGGAGGGATCGGCTGCGAGTTGCTGAAGAACCTCGTTCTCACCGGCTTCAAAAACATCGAAGTGGTCCGTCACATTTAATTTTGTTTGTTTGTGTGTGATAGCTAACTGGCTGTTGTGCTAAGTCTTTGTGCACCGGGAGGTGTGCGGACTTGGACGAATTCCTTAACGTTTATACGTGGCAATCAAAGAAGTAAAACACATAAGTATTGTTGAGCATGGTTTCTTGATAGCCCATTGTCCTTGATGGTATAGTTAAGCGGACTGGCCCAGGCATGAAATAATTAAAAAAATATGAACTGTGTTGTAGCAATGTAGCCGGTGTTTTGGCGCCTTCACGCTGCTAAGTTAGCTCGACAACTGAATGACTGCTAGCTAATCGGTGGGATGAATACCTGGTAGCACATATACATTTGGGCAATACATTATTTAGATGCGGCAAATCACATTATAGGTTAGTGCAAATATTATAACAAGGCATAAAAACACTAGACGCGTCTGGTATAAACGTTGTTTGTGCAGCACATATACAGTTGTATCCACAGTGGTTGTGTTTTCGAGGGCTACCAATCAGATGGTTAGAGCTTAGCATTTGTGACTGTTAACTGGTTTCGTAGGCTAGTGGTTAAGGCGCGGCGCCCCGGGTTCGAATCCAGGTTGCGTGGGGAAGGGCACCCGGCATAAAACACGTGCCAAATGTCAACATGCGAGTCGTCAGTGTGACGTTCTGTCACTGGTTTCCAGAGAGCCTGTTGGGCTAGTGAGTAACGATGATTGTGTACAGTAACCCAGGCTTCTATGAGTATTAAGAGCTGTCGCTATTGGGTTCACCCCTCGCTTGCATGCGCAATCTTTCGATTTCTTTCGTGCTCAGGTTCGCTGTGGCATAAATGTCAATATGACCTGAGTTTGGCTCCCTATGCCAGTGCATTTTCTTCAGCTGGTGGGGGTAGACACTGCGCCTATACTCATAGTGATATACAAATGAAGCAATGAACCAAATGTTCATTAAAAGGTTCATTAATTCAAAGCTGCTTTCAGTGACATCTAGTGGTGAAATAGGAGACGGCAAAACAATGTCTTAATTATGTGATGAGTGTAAAAAAGGGTTTGTGTGAATGATGTAAATACATTTTTGTAAAGATTGATTGGTCGGTTGATTCTATAAACTTGGTAGATGGGAGAAGGTGGGTTTGGGGAAACAGAGGGTGTGCTAGGATGGTAGGGTGTGCTTGTGTAACTAAGGAAGGGTGTGATTATGTAAGTGGGATGGAGATTCAAAGATTCTTGGGGTGACATTGGTGCGGTGGGTAGAGCAGTCATCTCCTAACCAGAAGTTTGAAGGTTCGATCTCAGTGCCAGCAGTCCACATGTCGAAGTGTTCTTGGGCAAGACACTGAACCCCCCAAGTTGCCTGTGATGGCGGCGCGTATGCACGCAGAGGCTTGGGGCCCCTCGGCTCTTATTTGTCTTGACTTATTTATCTTTTTTTCTTATTGAGAAACATTATTTTTTGTGTTACAAAGCATCTCCTGCTTTGAAGCAGTACCGACTGGTTTGAACCAGTCACATGATTCATTCGGGAACGAAGCAGTTTCTGCTTCAAACGTCATCAGTCACATGTATGTTTCCACACCAAAGCAAGCTTCAAAGCAGTGCTTCATGGAAAATGTTGCTTTGAGTTTGAAGCTTGTATTGGAGCTTTGGTGTCAGATGGCCATCACTACTCATAGAAGCTTGGGTTACTGTACGTAACCATTGTTCTATTTTGTATAGTCTTCATCCTCTAAGAGCTGTCGCTATTGGGAGAAAAGCGCAGCTGGATGTAGTCAATGCCCCGTTGGCTTATCACAGCCCAAGACCATTATAAACAACATCTCAGCTTATATATCCCACAATAGCAGCCAAAATACAACATCCTTTTTCCTGCAACAGGCCTTGTCTAAGAAGCAGGTACAATCATGCCCCATATAGAACCTGACTGCCAGTGTGAGAAGGCTTTTGTCTGTTATGTTTATCAGAGGAGGATAATGGCAGGGAAGGGCTAATAGTGAGCGTGTGCACCTGACAAAATGCACAGGTAATAGCCCGAGTTGTGATGTGAGCGCAGACGGACGTTAACTACACATAGTAACAGTTGGATACTCGTTAGTTTTGTTGTTGTTTTTTTTAAATGGAGAGCAAACCAGGCGCTGATACTGCATTTGTGTTATTCGCTTTGGCAACTCTCATTTGACTGTTCTGTCAATGCAAAGCTATTGATGTACACAGTATCAGTGCCACCAGGCGCTGATACTGTGTCCCAAAGATAGAAGTGAGTAAAGGGACATGGGGAAGCCCAGGAGGTTGCTGTGCAAATGTCCTCCTTAGTCACCCCCCTGAAGAGTGCTGTGGAGGGTGAAATAGCTCTCGTGGCATGAGCTCTGATGCCAGGCAGTGGATCTCTCCCAGCTGATGCGTATGCTTGTATGATGGCCTCACACAACCAGTGAGACACAGCCACCAGGGTCATGGGTGATGAGCAAAGGCATCCACACTTAGTGGACCACAGCGGACCTGAGTGGGGTTAGTCCGGTGCAGGGCACAGGGTGCAAATGACATCTCTCCAGGACTGCACATGCGCAAGGGTTAAACCTAATAGTGACAGCTCTTAGAGGGGGAAGCCTATATGAAATAGAACATTAATGTATTTAATGGACACATTATTCCTTTTTTTTTTTTTTAAGAAAATGTGTAACGTTATGATTTTAATCAGATACCCTCAGAGATTAAGATGATTTTTTTTAATGCAGAACTGAAAACAATAAACTTTACTGTTTTAAAAAAAGCAACATTCAAGAACAACATATCTAAAGGTAGATTGAGATTTAGAAATAGTAGTTGTTGATTCATTTAGATTGTAAGCTAATCAAAATGATTGCTGATCTTAATGCTTTGCCTTATTGATTGCTACTGTGCAGTAACTCTTTTAAAGTCTATATAAAATTCCTAAAAAGGTTAGACTTTCTGTCTTTAGTGAGTCAGTTTTGTTAATATTCTTATCATTTCAGTTTTGAGTAGTGATGTTTAAAGCTTTGTATAATGGGTAACACATAGACAAGTAGTTTGAATGTAGCTAATTCCTGAAAAAATCAATGATGATTGATAATTAACATAATATTACTGACATAATTTTCAGACAGTTATTTAAAAAATATTTTAAATAAACTAGTCAATTGTTTACTCAATATTTATACACATTATAACTTAAATATAACATAACTTCAAATACTGTGCAAAGCAAATACGGCTTAAGTGACCTGTGCCACAGCTTTTATGGGTTATTTCAGACAAAACCTAACACTTCCTCCAAGAGTCAGAGTATACCGGTTCCTAAATATTTCTCAGTAGAAATAACATCTGAAGGTATAAGGAGGTAGCTGCCTATAACCACAGGTTGTTGTTATTTGGGGGGATTTGGGGTCTTGTCCTGAATTAATGACATGAAAGAGGGAGGTCTGCAGGGAAATCTGTTCGCAGGTTCATGGTAGTCAATCACTGAGTGATTATCTCCAACAAAAAAAACCTCAAGCAGTATTTGGAGCTTTAATATGTTTCAAATATACCACCTTAGTGTGAGAGGTTAAGCTGTGTTTATCCAGGGGTCATCAGGGGCCTTCAAACACAGGCAACCCACAGTCAATTAACAAAAAATCAAGTGATAAAAAAAAAAGTCATAATACACATCAGAAGGGGCTTGAAAGAAAGTAATATAGCTTGAAGGAAGGTCATAGTTTATTCAATATAAAATGTGCATAGTACCTGGAACTAGTTCTGTCATGTACGTATGGAATGACCATGGTTGGGTAGTTTCAGATTGTGTGACACTGGTGATCTTCATTCCGTATAGGAAGTTGTTTTTACGATCCTTAGTCATAACAAACACCCAAAGTCTTTTTTGAGACACTTTTTAGGTGCATGAATGAATGAATTGCTGGAATAGGTGCAGATGGAGTTGGTTGTTATATATGACTGACATTACAACTTCGTTGATTTTGGCAGATTGACTTAGACACAATTGATGTCAGCAACTTGAACCGCCAGTTCCTCTTTCAGAAGAAGCATGTTGGCAAGTCTAAAGCACAGGTATGTAAACATCAACAAACTGACCTCTGCCACTGGTTGTTGTAAATCTTGTTAGAGCAAACACTTTGTCATAGATGTGCTTTCTGTAGCATTTGTTGTAGACTAAATTATTTTCTCTGTGCTGTTTGTGTGTCTCTGTCTCAGCCTTTTTAATTTATTTTGCAGGTGGCCAAGGAGAGTGTCTTGCAGTTCTGTCCCAGTGCAAATATCACTGCCTACCATGACAGCATCATGAAGTCAGTTTCTTCTTTTTGTCCACATCTGCAGACCTGCCAACCTGTATACATTTTGATATCAATGTACACTGATACAATCTGTCACTCTAAAGGATGCGGAAAGCTGGTGACAACTTGTGAGTTTGACCTGTAGTGCAGTGACATTAGTAAAGGCCCCAATGAGCATCTAACCCATAGTCATAGGTCTTCCTG